ATGCTTTTTTTTTGTTGACTTGAAGGGGATGAATACTTATGGAAACAATAATTTTTCTTTCTATACTTTTGTTTCATTGACATAACTTTGCCAGAATCTGTTTTGGCTTTGACATTAAAGAGTTTTTTGGTGTTATTAACTGAACAGCATGTTACTATATTAAAAAGAAATATTGTAAAATAGTCTGTCTACTTTTATTTTAAAGGAAGGCAGACATTATGCCCAGCAATAAAAGAAAATGTTATGAATCTTCTACCTGAATTCACCCTACCTCAATAATAAACACTGGCCCCAGTTCTTTGCCTGAAAGGTCATATTTAAAGGTTGTCTGCATGTCATCTTCTCTAATGTTTTAAGTGTTCAACCAGAAGGGATCATATGCCTTAAGCAATCTTCTACCCATTCACTTTCTGTTATCACTTGATGTTCTCTCCCTCCTCCAGTGGTCACTGCTCCAACATCAACAGTCCCTCAGTGCCGCAGCCTGAGACGAGGCTTCCACTGCGCAGCACTCAGGCTGCAGGACGACTTCAAATCTGATAAAAGCTCCTCATCTTCCTCATCATCCACCTCCACCCACCGGGAGCAGTACCAGGCTCACTCAGCTGAACAGGATACAGAAGCAGCTTCCCAGCAGGATTCTGATCCAAACAGCAGGTCAGTTGTTACACCCACAGAATAGTTTTTTGTTTTGTTTTTTGTGTCCAACATGCACTTTTGCTCTGTGTTTACACAAAGTGAGCAGGATCAGGATGAGGAGTATGAAACGGAAGAGCAGCTGCAGGCTCGCATTCTGACGGCGGCTCTGGAGTTTGTCCAATTACACGGCTGGTCCATGGAAGCCATCGCTGCTGGTGCTGAAGTGAGATTAAAACAAATACTAAAATGTTTTTGTTAAGTGCCCTACTAAGTGATTTTAACCTTTTATTGACATTTCTACAAGTTACAAGCTGTCCAGTCTTTCTTTATTGTTATATTTAATATAACCAGTTCAGCTTAAGATCATTAGAGTAAAATTTGTTTAATTTAAGTGGATGCAGATTAACCCCGAAATCCCACATCCTCCCTAACCACCCCGCTCAGTTCCAGACGCGAAGGCTGTAACCTTTGCTTTGGGCAGGTGCACAAAGCACAGGTTACAGCCTTCGCGGTTCCTCCCATCTTGCTCCGCTCCGACTTCCCTGGATCTCAAGGAGAGCATGCGCAATATAATTATTAATAAATTTCACGGGAGGAAAATATGCGGAAGTTAACTCTTAATTTAATATGACATAATCAAAATTCACCATCAGCATCAATCACATAAGCAGTTTGCCCAATCATTTTCCTTCATTGTGGGTCTTTCTAATAGGAAAAATAATACAAAATTGGTTTGTTCTCTACTTCCAAACTCAGCATCTCTTCATCCATTCCTGCGATAAAAAGTTTGTTTTGAAGTTGTGAGAGGCGCTCTTGGAAGTTGTTGTGGCTGGATTTGATGAAACCTTTAAGCCTATCAGTACTAAATCATTTTTTTGAAGGAGATGAGAAATTTGCTTCCGGGTATGTTGAAGTACCAATCGTTTGCATTCAATAATTTAATGAAACGGTCTTAGTTTTGGGGAATATATACGAATTGCTCTAATTAGTAGGTACCGATCTGTCGTAACCATATTTCAATTTAACAAACTGGATCTTTCTGACATTCTTTTTCCTGTTTGGTGCAACTGAAATTGCGGATCTTGACCTGGTGAAGGACAGAGAAGACGTATGTAGACGGTGACGTGCGGAGGAATAGTGGTGGATGTGTTCTCATTTATGAACATGACTGCACAGAGTCCTCCACACGACGTACTTGAGCGGAGCGGTCACAGAGGATGTGAAATCTGGGGTTTAGTGTTAGCATGGGCTTCAGAATATCTTTAGAGTCAACTAATGTTTATGTTGTGCTGCTGCCAGTCTCTGGGTTTGTCCTCTGCTTCAACCGGGATGTTCTACAATGGAGCCGGAGACCTGGTCCTACATTTCATCTCCCAGTGCAACGCCAAGCTGACTGAAATCCTGGCTGAACAACATAATCAGGTCCAGTTGGGCCAGGCAGAGTATGTATTTTATGGATGTTTTCCATAGACATCAGATTTATGTCTAAGTGCTCAATGTTTGTAAATGAAATTAATGAGGACAGACTGGAGTTCCTTACTAAAATAATTAAATACCTGTTTTTATGTGTGACGATAAAAAAGAAACCTATGGGGATTCTCTTTTTTAATTTTTGAGAAAGGCTAAAAGCAAGCTATAACAAAGTAAGGAAAATTTCCCGATAAATCAGCAACTGTAGGATGGGAGGAATTAAAAGCTTTCGGAATATAGAAATATGTAAAGAAAATCAGTATTATTGGCTCAGGCGATCTGCTTACATGTGGCAGAGTTGAAGTGGTAACATGATGCAGTAAAATTAATCTTTTCTCTGCTTCTCCTAATGGCGGATCCTAAAGGCTGAGCTTCAGCCGTGCTTTAAGCTCCTGAACAGGCCTGCACAGCTGGAGTAAGAACCAGGCATTTATGCTTAATGTAGATGCTAGAACAGTATTCTCTGAAGATACAGGGTGCCGTACACTAGTAATGGCAAAATGAAAGCTTCTAACCCAATGCTTTGCCTAAAGGATCATTACTTGATGCTTCAGCTGCTGCAGCACTGTCACTATGACAGCCTTCATATTGACAGATCTCCAGCTTAGATAAACCGGCCCATAAGCCTGATGCTGCAGACACCGCTGCCCCTCATACCCTTTTCAGCAGTGCAGCATAAAAATCAGCTGCAATAGATTACATATTACATAAAAATAAACTACAAAAATGTTGTTTAAATCATAAAATTAAAACTTCGAAAGTGTTATTATTTTAATTCTGTTTTTTATATGTGTAACAGAATTTAACAGTTATCAATTTATCTGTAAGATGGAGCTTAAGCCGACTGAATCTACTTGCTAAGGATGAGTTTGAATGTGGTTGTTTATTCTGACCGTAGCCTAAACTGGTTATAGGAAGGAGTGAACACTTCTACAACCTCATTATTTAACTTGTTTCCCTCTGAAGCTTTTAGCTTATTTTCCAATTGAGTCCTATTAAATGTAGAAAAAGATCTCAGTGTTTTATTTGTCCACTCAAATATTCGAGACTTTTAACTGGGTTATATATAATCCTCCACTTTAATATTCCTCTAGAATAGAATAGACTTCAACTTTATTGTCAATAAACTTTCGCTGTCACATACAAGATATAAATGGTTATTTACATGTGCACAGAGACTATGTATGTGTATGCTATAAATGGTATATAAACAGAGAGGAGGCTATTAAATAAATAAATATGGATGCTATATACACATTATACAGGAAAGTTATACAGTCCCTATATTTGGTTTCAGGAGTGTGACAGCTGTTGGGAAGAAGCTGTTCAGGTGCCTGGTGATTCTAGTCCGTAGGCTTCTGTATCGCCTCCCAGAGGGCAGGAGTGAGAAGAGTATGCTCTTAAAAGAGAAAATCAGGGGCTACTCTCTAATCTTAGAGGGAAACAGCACACGTGGAAGAAGGTTCAGGAGAGGTTGGCAGAAAGGGCACTGTATTTCTGTTTTTTTTAAATTACTTTGATCCACACTGCAAAATATAATGGCGACAGCATCATGTGACGATTAGTCAGGTTTGATGGGAAGATCAATGCAGCTGAAAACCTTTTATAGGCTGTAGCAGACTGTTTGAGTAGAGGTTCACCTCCAGCAAGATGATCACAAGCATACAGACAGAGCTATGAAGGAGGGACCCTATCAGAGCCAGGGCCCTTAAATCTAGTTTATAACTCTTGTTAAGACTTAAATTAATCTTTAGACACCGATCATCCTGTGCTGTTTTGTAAAAAGAGGGCAAATATTTCCGTTTCTAGATTTGGAGCGCTGAAAAAATTAGGTTTGCGATTTGATTGGGAGAAAATGTATTTGAATAAATATTTCTAAGTGCCTTTAAATAAACTAACAGAGCTGAACTCCTCGTGCGTTGCAGACGAAAGAAGACTGCTGACTTCCTAAGAGATGCAGTAGAGACCAGGCTGCGGATGTACATCCCCTACATCGAAACCTGGCCACAGGTAAACAGAAAACTGACTCTGGAGTCACTGCAGAAACGGCAAACTCTACATCTCCTTCTGTTGTGAACTCAGGCCATGAGCATCCTGCTCCTTCCTCACAACATCCCCGACAGCCTGAAGCATCTCTCCACCATGGTGGACGACATCTGGTACTACGCCGGGGACCGATCAACAGACGTGAGTGGATCTTCTCACCCTCGATCCCCCTTTACTGCTGCTCATACCTTCCTGTCCCCTTTTCATCACCATCCTCACCATATCCGGCCTGCTACCTCTCAGGTTATCCCACCCATCACCTTTCATATCTATTTGCTCCTTTTTTCCCTTTTAATTTGTCAAACTTGCTCTCCTGCACATTATTTTTTATTCCATTGCATGTATTTTCTTGATAAACAATGCATTTTAGATTAATATGTGACAGTAAAGTGCCCTTTGTCTTCAACAAAATATAAAAGCTAACTCTGTGTCTGTCGGTTGTTATTTGAAGATGAACTGGTACACAAAGCGGGCGGTGCTGACTGGTCTCTACAACACGACAGAGCTGGTGATGCTGCAGGATTCCTCTCCGGACTTCCAGGACACCTGGACCTTCCTTGATAACCGCATTCAGGATGTAGTCAACATGGCCACCACAGCAAAGCAGGTGCAGAGGAGTTGGAACAAAACAAATGTGATAAAATATGTAATAACCAGCTGGTTTATCTACAGAAAGTAGAAAGTGGAAAAAAAAAAGAAAAAGAATCATTGTTAGAATTTCTTCTTTCTCTTTAGATGCAGTCAACTGGTGAAGCCGTAGCACAGGGGCTAATGGGAGCTGCAGTTACGGTGAGTTAAAAACCTTACCTGTCATAGCATCGGTTACATCCATCAGACTTTATCACTACTTGATCGGAAGTACGATCGGTATATCAGCTTACTTGCGCATGTGCAACCAGATATTAATCCGGGTCTCCATACATGATGTACCATATTTTCCGTACTGTAGAGCGCACCTCACTAAAAAACTGGAAATGTACATACATATGCCGCAACAGGCTATAAGCCGCTGATATCAACTGAACTGTCCCCCACCAAACCTGTAGGAGGAGCTCTATATATAGACCCTGGATTAGGGATAAAGAAGAATGCTATAACCTATTAGCTTGTTAGCTCGCAGCAGTAGCAGCTTCTACTGAAACATGGGTCTTCATTGGCTCTTTATTTCAGCTCTGCAGGAGCTGAGCCCAGTCTTTTCATTGGTTCAGCAAATAAATGGCAATACGTGTGAATTGGGGACATTTGTTCTCCATTGTGCCTGCTGCTAACATGTTCTTATGCTAAATCTCTATATTCCCCTATGCAACTTTTCCTCCTTTTGGCAACTTCTTCTTTTTGACCATTGAGCCGATGTAACAAGTACATTTCTCCACTATGAGTTGATAAAGTCAATCAGTAAATCAATCAAATGAAAATTAGCCCCTTTTTCTTTCATTTCCAACACTGACTTACTTAAACACCATCCTATAGAAACGAGGAATTATTTTATGAGAGAATTGGATGTGTTTTACATTCTCTCCATTAAATTGTCTGATCATCATCAGACATGCTCAGAGCAGTCTGGTAAACTCTATTTACAATGTTTATCTGTATTTTAGTTGTGTCTTTTCTAAGATTATGCGCTATATACTATAAAAGTGCCACGAGATGCAAACATCAAACTTCAAATTACTACTATTAGTGCTGCACTGATACCGATACCAGTATTGGACAGGGCCCTGATACTGAACAAATGATGGCATCAATATCTGTGAGTACTGTCAAATAGGGCGCCAATACCATTTTGAGATCCAAAAGTTTATTCAACTATTGTCCCCCATTCCAGGTAGGCAATAAAAAGTTATTCTGGATTCACTTTGTATGAGTCTTTTTCCTGCTTCACAAAAGAAGGCAGCACATGACAAAGCCATGATGGCAATTATTTTACATCCCAGTAGTATGCAGTTCTTCATGTATATATACACACACACACATCAGTTTTAAACAGATAGTATCAGTATCGGCCCATACTGCACAGCCAGGTATCGGGGCCAAAAAATGGCATCGGCCCAACACTAACTACAATGTTTTACAGATTCACAGCTGGTAAAAGTAGCTGCTGGAGGTGGGGTAGGATTGCTTTTCTGGGACAGATCAGGGACAGATGACTGCTAAAACAGAGAGATGTAAACACATTTATTCTCTCAGAAAAATCATCATTAACCTTTCACAAATTGTACTTTGTTACGCCTTTTATAATTAGGGAGACGAAAATGTATTTTTTTGACCGATAGTGACGTGAATGTCTTCTGATTGTACAAACGAGCTCCAGATTGGACTGGTACGAATCACAGCAAAGAAGTAGTGAAAGAAATCACTAAAAGGAATCTTTCACATTTGTCATTGTTGCTTTCATCAGTAGCTTAGAAGGCCAGTGGCAGTCATGGTCATGATACTGGTCATAGGAGTGGAAGGGAGGAGGTGATGGAAGAATTAGAACAGTTAATCAGGAACCACTAAAACATAATAGTGGCAGCTAGAGTCCAGTTTGCAGGGTTAAGCCAGCCGTAGGTCTTTGCTACTTCCAATTCAGAATTATATATTTATCTCTAAAGGTTATAGTACAAACTTTGGCTTTTTTCTATAATATAAAATAGGCCAAAAATGATGAATTTGTGATTTAGCTTGTATTTTAGGATATAGTTTTGGTTTTATTCGTAAATATTTACTATGGTTTTTATAATAAGTTTAGTAAACTGAAAATAGTTTTATTAAATGCACACATTGAGTTTAAGCTACTAAAAATTTTGTTATACTGCAGATAAAGTATTTGTGTTAAAATTAGGTTCAATTTGAATCTACGGTGAGATGGGTAAACGGTCTCTCCCAACCAAGCTCTGGGATGAGATTAACGGCTAAAACGCCTAGACAGTAAAGTGCTAGAGATTAAGAAAGGGGTGAAAACAAAGACAGAAAAAAAAGACAAATGGAGAGTAAAAATACATGAAATACAGCAGAGAGATGATGAATAAGGATCTTGTTAGTTTAATTTTTCATTTTCAACCATATTTTATCCACACTAATTATTTGATATAAGGTTGATCAAGTTTTGTGTTGGATTATATTTAATTCTTCAGTTATTCTGTTATTTTTGACAGTTTGCCTTAGCCTAGGATACATTAAAGTATGTTAATCAGTTTTTAATAATGATACATAATCTGACCTTGAAGATTTGTACTAAAATAAATATTTTTTTGTTTGTTTTTCAGCTGAAGAACCTCACAGGACTGAACCAAAGGCGATGATATGAACACCTGAGGCACACAGTGCCCGACCAGCCGGATGACCTCATGGACTGAAGATGCCGTGTGCTTTTGGAGGCTGGGGCGTTTGCTGTTACTTATTCAGTTGTATGGCGCTGAAGGAATTTAGTTTTAGTCTTTAACAACACAGAAACATCCCGTTTGTCGATCCCGTTTGTCGAGGACACCCTGTATCTTTCTGTTCATCTGCAGAATAAGGGGATATTCTTTCTTTAAGTTTTTTTTCCCAGTTTTTCAATGTATTCAAGAACAGTTTCAATTTGGTCTGTGAGCCCTAAGCCAAATAAAGTGGTGTATATACAATCTATTTCTGCTGTTGGTTTTCTTGTATCAAAAAGAATTTTCTTCAATTCAGTTTTATGGGGGTTTTTTTGTAAATGCAAGTTCACCAGTTAAAATCAAGGCAGGTTAGTGGCTGAATTCAAGGCATTTCACCAGGTATACAAAATATCCATGTATGTTATGAGGTTGCAAAGAAAAGGTGAAAATGAGTTTTCCCTTTTTAGCGAGTGAAAAAATAAATAATTTTCTTTTTTTTTAATTATAAAATAAATTTGGATCATATAAACATAGATATCCATAATAATTTATTATGGATATCTATGCATATAAAGTGCTTTACTTTGAAAAATCCCCAACGACTGCTGAACCCGGTTGTGAATGCGGAAGTCCCGCCTCCAAACTGGCTTTCCAACCAATCACTGCTCGACTTTTGAATTCCAACCAATCACTGCTCGTCTTGTCAATTTCTAGCCAATAAAATCTCAGTAAATATATCCGCGAAGGCCTCCGATCCGTAGCAGCGGTGTGGTTAAGAAAGACAATTCTCGCGTTTTTTAGGCTAAATAACCTTTAATAATGCCGTATGCCAACCAGCCGACGGTTAAAATAACAGAACTGACGGACGAAAATGTCAAGTTTGTTATAGAAAACACGGATTTGGCGTGAGTATTTATGCACGGTTTACTGACTAAATAGTTTATATTGAGAACATGCTAGCCATTACCTTCCTGCACCTTAAAACAATTACGAGGCAAAACAAAAAGGAAAAGGGTGCTATTTGGCTTCAAATACTGGTTAAATTTAGCTCAATTTAGTAAGCAGTATTCAATGCGGTTTTACATTTTTGCTTATATTAGCATAAATATATTTCGTTATGAACAACATGGTTTTTAGTGAAAAAAACAAAACAAACTTGTGCTAAATAAGCCCAATGAACCACAAGTCTTCTGAAGGAATGTACTTCTGCTTGACCACATTACCCGGCCTAAATAAAAACACACTATACAACACGAGCTTCTCATGTCAGCTGGCAGGCACAGTGTTGGAAGGGTGATGCTTTAGGCTATTGAAGCTACATGAGTTCACAGTAACCGCATCTTTATACTGAGGCAAAACAGATTCTGTTGTGAGATGATCATTCTGATCTTGAAATAAGGTTGGACAATGACAGAAACACTTTCTCAAATACAGCAGCAAGTTTAGAAGAAATGCTGTGAAAGATTATGATCTGTGGCCCATTTAAAGTTCAGATGATTGTAATGCTCTGGGAGGTAAACAGAGCTGTGCAAATGACTTAAACTGTGCATAAATGATGTTTTAGACAATACAGTCTGACCAAACAGCTGAGAATCCATTCACTCCTATTGTTTAATATTGAACATGTGACACTGGATGCATTAAGATAACTCTGATGAAGATCAGGTCTTTTTTTATGAAGTCCTGATATTGAAGTGGTCTCCTTTTTTTTCCCTTTAACTGTGGCTACATTTCCATTACTTCTTAGTAATAGTAATAATGTTACGCCCCCAAGGTCTAATGGTTCTGGAGAGGTAACATAAAAATGTGTCCAGAGAAAATAAGTGGAATGTAAAATTATTTATGACAAAAGATGGTTTCACAGACCCAAAACACAATACAACTTAACCCAATTAAAACAAAAGAAAAGGGCGAACAAATTCAAGAATGGTTAAGTGAAAATAGAATTACAAAATGTCCAAACCAGTCAGTCTAAATTTAACTCAAAACAACCCAAAGGGAGCACCAAACCTAAATTCTAGCTTGAACAAAGACCACCTAAAGCAGATTCAGAAAAATATACAACAAGCTAGGGTGGGCTATTTAACCGCCAGGAGTTCCCGATTCCCCACATCATATTGGCGCTCAGCCTGTGACAATGAAGTGAATCTGACCATCTGAGGTCCTCTGGCTCAGTACCGCACCTACCCCAGTGCTAGAGGCACCAACCTCAACAATGAATTGTTTCTTTGTATCAGGGGGCTGGAGAAGTGGGGCAGTGGTGAACAGGGTCTTGAGCTTTGTAAAGGCCTCCTCTGCTTGACTACTCCAATAAAAGGTAACCTTGGATGAGGTTATGGCATGAAGAGGGGCGGCAACCTGACTGAAGTTTCTCAAGCAAATTTCTGACCAACTAAAAATGTCACCTATATAAAATAGTTTGAATGTTTTATTTAATGTCTTTTATCAAAGTATTTCAATTAATAAAATCAAGTATTTAATATTACTAGATTATGATTGGTATAAACTACAGTTTTTTTTTTAATTATGTTTTCAAACCTATGGTATCACGGTGCCTCATTAATCACAAGGAAAACATTAAAGCAGGTTCAGAGAAAGGGAGAACAGTCATGTTTCTGAAAAATGTATTGCTGCAGTGCTTCTAAAATATCTTTTTGTTTGTTTTCAGGGTTGCAAACTCTCTCCGCCGTGTCTTCATGTCAGAGGTTCCCACAATAGGTAGAGTATAACTCATTTTAGTCCTTATGCATTTCTCTAGCATCCTTTTTTTGCTGCAGATTTTTTCTTAAAATCAGATCAAGACGATTTAACAAATACAAAGAAAAAATCTGCTTTATTATTGTGTGAATTTAAGCTTTCCCCCTGTGCCAACTTATTTGACAGAGATTATCGCAAGCCTTTTGAAGTCGTAGGATAAATAAAGTTTGGTGAAAAGTAATTTATTAAAAGGGATTTGTAGCTCCAGCATCGCTTTGCCATTGAAAATCCCTCAAAAAGTTAAAGTTGCATCGCTGCGTTTTCAGCCATCGACTGGATCCAAATCGATGCCAATTCGTCCGTGCTGCACGATGAGTTCATCGCACACAGAGTCGGTACGCATCTCCTGTTGATTGCAGTGCAAATCGGCCATTTTATGAGCAGTGAGACCTGAATGCTAATCTGCTTGCTTTCCTGTCTCACCAGGCCTCATTCCCCTCACCAGCGACGACATAGTGGATAAAATGCAGTATTCAAGGGTGAGTCGGTCGTTGCATCAGGAATTCCTGTGGCTCAAAGCAGTTCTTGGGATAGTTTGGGGGAAAACATCCCTCCGAGTGTTGCTGAACCCCTAAAAGACAGAAAAACTTTAACAAGAGCTGACTGTAGTTAGATCACCCTAGAAGTTCAGTCCTCAGACTGACAAGAACAAAGATTAATTCTCTTTTAATTAATTCTCTTCTTTTTTTTGTGCTTAAATAAAGAAGTTGTATTTCTAATACCTCAACACAAATAAATAAAAACAGAAATACAGAAAATGGTACCATACCATATCAGTATATAAAGAGTTGGAGGTTTGTAGTGGAGGCAGATGTTCATGTTGCTGCCTGTTCCTGCAGGACTGCACCTGTGATGACTTCTGTCCAGAGTGCTCTGTGGAGCTGACTCTGGACGTTCGATGCACAGAGGACCAAACGCGCCACGTCACCTCCCGTGATCTGCTCTCCAACAACCCCAGAGTCATCCCTGTGAGTCTTTGTTCAGGTGCTGCTGTAGGCTGTGGAGCAGAGAAGGAATCTGATGGTGTTTGTATTCCAGGTCACCTCCAGAAGCAGAGACAACGATCCAAACGACTACGTCGAGCAGGATGGTAACCACAGTGCTCGTCTTATAAGGCAGTTTAAACTTTTTTAAGCGATTTCTTCTGGTTTTAATTTAAATCCTGGGTGCTTTTTCCACTTCCTCTCCTGAAATTTCCAAACTCCACAGACATCTTGCTTGTGAAGCTACGTAAAGGTCAGGAGCTGCGGCTCAGAGCGTACGCCAAGAAGGGCTTTGGTAAGGAGCACGCCAAGTGGAACCCGACTGCTGGGGTGTCCTTCGAGTATGACCCAGACAACGCGCTGCGGCACACAGTATATCCACGCCCCGAGGAGTGGTATGTTTTTCAGTACGGCTCCCCTTAAAGTAGGATTGTTGATTAGTTGATGGATGGTGTCATTCTTTTCTCAGGCCAAAGAGCGAGTACTCTGAGATTGAGGAGGATGAAGTTCAGGCCCCTTATGACCCAAACGGCAAGCCAGAAAGGTGAGAAAAGCCTCTGCTTAAACATTTTAGGACCTAGAACCAAAGTTTATATAGTTTTAGATTAGGCTGTATTAGTTTTTCTTATAGTTTTAGTGTTTTATTCTGGAGCAAGACCGAAAGATAAATAATTAAATGATGGAAATGAAATCCCAGACAAGGACAGACTTGTTCAAATGACATGATTGCTGTAAATGCCATCTGGTGGCATAATGTGGTACAGCGAAAAAAGGCAGAAACGGTAATCAGAAACTTCATCTAGTAATAATGCATTATGATAAAGACACAAAGGAAAACTGAGCACTGTCTTTGATAGGAGGATCAGAGTTGGGACTCTAGTGTCGGTCGAAATGGTTTGGTGCTGAACAAGTGCTTTGACGGAGGCTGGGTAATTGGATGGAACAAAGTGGCAAGTGAGGTAGATGAGGATGAGGAAGGCAGTTTCAAATGAGTAAGAGAGAGATGGAGGAGGTAAAGGGGGTGAAAGGTGGTTTGAGAATCAAGGAAATACACAGGATTTAGAAAAAAAAGAAGTTCAGATGAAGAAAAAGCTGCGCAAAGGATGGTTGTCAAAGAGGAAATAAAAATAATACTAAGATTCAGTGCTGAAGATGAACGGAGTCATTTGAGCCCCATTTTGATCTCCAGAGAAATGAATAAGAAAATAAGGGAAGTTGAATTAGTGAAGAAATTGAGAGATGGAAACTTGCTGGTAATTTGCAATGAGGAGCAAAAAATCAAATCATTGGATGTTGCACACTCAGGGGGAAAA